CATCTTTTATCTACTTTAAACCTTTCTGATAATTGTACATAAGAAAATATGTACAATTTTCAATTGAACATTGTACATAAGAAAATATGTACAATAAGATAGCCATTTATGTTTATTTATCATTTCTCATCTATGAAATGCTTCTTGTGCTGAGAGCTACAAAGGTATTTTCGGGCATGACCTAGAATTGTATATATTCCATATTCTCAGAATGGCACGTCTGACATAATAATTTTTAAAATCTACATTAACTTTAGTTTTGTCGTGCCACAAATATCCATGCCATCCAAATCTCAGATTGTGTCCTTCTAACTCCAATAACCTTCTATTTCTCAGCAATATCTACTATTTCATCCTAACTAAAACAAAACTGTTTCACCCTTTTGATGGGCAGTATCTTCCTTTCCATCCAGTTCCCAAACTACATATCAAAATCAACATTTCATAGAGAACTTTAAATTGGTAACATGACAAACATAACCTCAAATAAGTTTTTAAAAAGTCCTGAAACACCTCATTCTACTCTGGTTTGGACCTTGGTGGCAGTATGGTACATGGACCTACTGTTTCTTTCAAAACCAATCATTAGATTGTAACTTTTTACACAGAGGGCAGCCAGAGAAATGATGGCAGACATTCATTATAAATATGAAACGTGTAGCTGGTCACCTCTCAAGGCAAACCAAGGTTCTTGAAAAACACTTAAGAAGTAAAAGTAGTCACAACTTTTAGAGACCTCCCTCAGTACTTTCCGTTCCTCAAGTTTACAACCGTGACTCTGTCATGAGTTGTTCCTGATTGAGAGTAAATAATGATGTCCTCAGTGCAACTATCCATGTCTGAACTTCAGCCAACAACTTGTTGTTGTTTTGGGATGGGGTGGGTGGCTCAGTAGGCCTCAGCTCTCTTCATAGACAAAATTGTTTATAATCACTGGCCTCACAACATATCAACTATACACACAGTCTTGTACAAATATTTGGCTGTATATAGCACAATTTATTTTACTCAGCAGCTCTGGCTCATCTGGCATATTTTTTTCTCCTCCTTCAGTCCCTCTGCTGCTCATGATCTCCACTGCTTAGGTTATAGGACTGTTGCAAAGTTCAGCCTCAAAACTGTAATATTATATTAAGCTCATGAACACAGATTTTAGAGGATACATCATAACTTACTTCCTCTATATTGTTTCATTTTGACCACTGTGTTGGGAAAGAAAAAAAATTTAAAAGGGCAACTTTCTGCTTGCACACACTATCTTTAATCTACATTTTAAGAAGCCAGCTCCCCACCGCAAAACTTGAGCAAATACTCCATTAGATTGACTGACTTCAACACTGTCAGTACCCCTTTCAAAGAAATCGTTGAGTGAAATTCACTGTTTGATATAGATGCCCAAAAGCCACTTCACAATCACTAAGCAAACAGCATCACTAATTTTCCACAACATGATTTTACTTGAGGGAACTCCAACTGGGAAAGAACTGTTCATTACTCAGAGCTATTTCCTGTAGGCCTAAAGGATCCAGCTTAGACAGAAGCATCCAAAGAAAGGAGGGTGGGTGGGGGAGTGGTTGTTGCTACTTTGACATTGATTGGCTAGGTTTGGTTTTTTTTTTAAAGAAGATAAAAACTAACACAAACTAATACAAAGTGGAAAAAAGAAAAGAAAAAGAAAGAAATCAAAGAGAAAGCTAAAAGTGCAAGAAAGGGGAAAAAAGTAAAAGAAAAATAGAAAAGAAACAAAAAAGATTCAAAGAAGTAGCTTCCAATATTCCTCACAGCAGTTATGAGTGCAATTATAAGTTTACCTCTGCTATGGTTACAGCATAACTCTCTTCTTTCTATAATCTATTCTATCTAATCACCAAAACCATAAATCATAAGTTCATCTTTTTCTGTTTCACGCAAGAAGTCTATAAGGAGTTTCTAGTGAATGGCTAGGATTCTTGACATGTCTTTGCTATAAAATTGCTAAATAATTCCCTGCCTCTCTCCCAAACAAGATTCATCACGTTTACTAGAAGGTACTATCAAACTTGCTATAACAAGCATAGCAAGTTGATTTTTGTGGAAAACAAAAAACCTGGAGTCCATTGTTTTTAAACTGAAAAAGAGATTGATGTAAAAATATACATTTAAAAGATATCAAATGTCACTAGTTCCCTCTTCTTGTTTTGCACTGTACTAGCAGAACTACAGCTGTTTACAGGTTTTCCACATCCAAAAAACAATGCTTAAAGAAAACAAGCACTATTTTTCAGAACTGAATGAATAATAGTTCAAGATTTCAGACAAGAACAATGTGATGCCTCTGAGGGAGTTAATAAACAATGAGGAAGTAAGAATGAAAACTCACTGCTCTAGAAGGATCCCCAAAGTTAATCTGCAGGTTACCCATGGCCTTGATGATAGCCATGATGGACTGAATGGTGTTGCTGTAAACCACTGCTTTGTACTGTCGGCATTCCTCTTCTGAGTATCCATCCTCATGGATAATCCTGGAAAGGAACAGAACAGGAAAGGTTTCAAAAATCAGCATATCAGATACCTACAAAGGATGTAACACTGTTTCCTATAAAATACTTGTGAAAGAAAGTTTTCTATAATGTAGCATCACTAATATGAAATTAGTTTGCCTTCTGCTTTCACCCAGTCCGGCACTGGCCTGCAATTAGGGATAAGAATATTAGCTACAAACATATGAAACCAGCGACAAGGAGGTATCAACAATATGCTGATGATACTCAGTTGAACATTTCCGCCCTGGCTCTCCAAGTGAAGCTGTTGAGGTTCTGTCCCAGTACCTGGAGACTATGAGGGTCTGGATGGGGAAGAAGAATTTAAGCTCAACCCTGCCAAGACTGAGCAGTTATGGGTTCTGAGTCTCCCAGATCCAGGAATTGGAGTGCTTCCATCTTTGGTTCTGAACATGGTGACTGTGATGGAATGGAATTATGAAGGCCAAGCTCAGGGAGATAAACATTTTCTTAGCTTGC